TCCATGTCCAGATTTTGCCTAGGGAAAGCAGAGCCTGAAAATCAGAAAAACTGCAGCTGAAGGAGGTCCCCCCTGACAGATAGGGAAGCTGAGGTTCCGACAGGCTGCATGACTTGCTCAGGGTCAAGCATTGGGAATGTGGCTGAGTAGGATGTGGACTCTTGCCTTAATCTCGACTACACTGGATTTGGTTAGATTATCACTTTGCAACGGATGAGGATCAGAGCTTCTTGTGTTTAAATTGCTTTTAAAAGGCGATGTTATAATATCTCTTGTCAAGCCTACCCTTTATGATCATCTTGACTTTAAAAGGATTAAGTTTATCTCTAATTAGCTTCTCTTAATAATAAAACGTTTGTCATGGATGTGTTTGGAAACCATAAATATATTTTTGTGTAACTAAGGAAGTGGGTTTTAGACCTGAGACCAGAGTGAGGTATTTTCAACTTGCTTTTATAATAAACTGAAGGATCTATGCCTGTTAGATTATAGTTAAACTCTCCAGTGTTTCATTACTACAACTAAAAGCAGCTATGTTGACTCCACTGCAAATTCCACATTTTCAGTTTTCTCAGAACAGTAGTCATAACAGGAGAAAATCCTCAAAGATAAATTTTAATATCTCCTTTTTAAGATCTTATTTATTTATTTGACACAGAGAGAGCACACAAGTAGGGGGAACAGCAGAGGGAGAAGCAGGCTCCCCGATGAACAGGGAACTTGATGTGGGGCTCGACCCCAGAACCCCAGGATCACGATCTGAGCAGAAAGCAGTCGCTTAACCGACTAAGCCCCCAAGCGCCCCCACAGGTACATTTTTTTAAAAATTTATTTTATTTTATTTATTTGACAGAGAGAGAGATCACAAGTAGGCAGACAGCCAGGCAGAGGGAGAGAGAGAAGCAGGCTCCCTGCTGAGCACAGAGCCCCATGTGGGGCTCGATCCCAGGACCCTGGGATCATGACCTGAGCCGAAGGCAGATGCTTAACCATCTGAGCCACCCAGGCGTCCCCCCACAGGTACATTTTAAAGAAACAATTACTTTTGGGAAAAACAGTGGAATACGATCAGAAAAATTAAATTCTCAGCTGGCTTTTTTGACTATGTAACTATGTAACTGTGGTGACATCATCCTAAGACTCAATTATGTCATCAGTAAAATGAGGCTAATGATGGCCTCACAAGACTCTTGAAAGGGAAAAAATTAATAGGTGGCAATTACTTTGAGCTTTCCTAAAGAAAGGCGCTGTATTCCTAATAGTTTTTTAACATCATGTTATAATGCTGCTGACAATCTTTATAAATTATACATCTTATTTAAAATTTGAAGTACTTTGAGGCAATCAACACAAAAGCAGACTTGTATATGATAAAATTATATTTTAAAAATGGATATATTTTAATGTTGCAGGAATATGACTTTAGAATTAGCCTGTCATCTCTTTTTTATATGAAATATAAGGCCTGATTACAGACTTTTTTTGAGCAGATTTGGTCTCTGTCATGGGATTTCTCTTTACCATTAGATGGCGCAATCTGAGGCCCAAAGCCATTCGAAGTGCAGCCACACAAGGATGATGGCTGTGTTCTGTATGAGGGCACGGTCTGAGGCGGCAGCCAAACAAAAGTCACAAGGTTTGGGTTCTATTCTTGACCCTACTATGTTCCATGGGCAGCATGTGAGAACGGTGAATTTCCTCTGACCTTGCTCCATGCCCCCGTAAAATTGACTCTAACATTTGACACCTGCCTCCTCTCAGGAGAGTTTACAAGGATGAATGAGATAATGCTGCTGAAGGCCGGACCTTCTAATGAAAACTGCCAATTATAAGCAAAACATCAGTGGGTGAATATGTAACTAAGGTCTGCCCCTTCCCCTGTGTTAAAATGCTTCTGAGCTGGGTGACATCATTCCCACATGTAAAAGAACATTTTGCTCGAGAAGGGAAAATGATTAAGAGGGAGGAAATCGGGACTTTGAAGGGAAGTGCAAAGACCAAGAGACAACCCCTCTGCACAAGAGAAGGGTAAGAGTGACAAAATATTCTCTTCATTGCAAGAAGGAATCTCGCAAAGGAGTAGAAGTGGATTTCTTCCCAGTTTGTTGAGGACAGGAGGAGCAGATCAGAATTTCGATGACATAAGAAAAATAAAAAAAGATGTAAAAAGTTTAGAGGAGAGATATTTGGAAAGCGAATGTTCTTAGTTTCACATCAAACAGACCTGTTTCTTTTAAAATTTTTTAAAAATTGGAATCAGAACACTTAACATGAGATCTACCCTTTTAACACATTTACAGGTGTATAATATGTTATTGGTGATGACTGGTACTATGTTGTACACAGACCTCTAAAGCTCATTCATCTTGTTTGACTGGAACCTTATGCTCATTGGTTAATAACTGCCCATTTCCTCCACCCGAAGCCATCCGTCCCCTCTTTGATTCTATGAATTTAATTATTTTAGATACCTCATCTAGGTGGAATCATGCAGTATTTATCTTTCTGTGTCTGGGTTCAACCACGTTGTTTCACATTACAGAATGTCCCCCTTTTTTTAAAGTATGTCATTGTATGTATATACTACATTTTCTTTATTCATCTTTCAGTTGCCTTTTAGGTTGTTTCCACATCTTGGCTATTGTGCATAGTGCTACAATGAATATAGTGTGTTAATATTTCTTTAAGATCCTGATTTCAATTTTTTGGGATAAATACCCAGAAGTGGGATTGGTAGATCCTATGGTAATTCTATTTTTAATTTTTTGATGAACTTTCAAACCGTTTTCCATAGTGGATGTACCATTTTGAATTCCTACCAACAGTGTGCAAGGGTTCTAGTCTCTCCACATCTTCACCAAAACGTGTGTATGTGTCTCCAAGATTATGACCTGAGCTGAAACCAAGAGTCGGATGCTTAACTAACTGAGCCACCCAGGTGCCCCTGTTCTGGGAATTTTACAGTTTTGGGTCTTATGTTTACATTTTAATCCATTTGAGTTCATTTTTGTGTATGGTGTAAAGGTCTAATTCTATTCCTTTTGTATGTGGACAACCAGTTTTCCCAGCACCATTTATTGAAAAGACAATCCTTTCCCCATTGCCATGCTCAATGGTAAAAAATGGAAAACTTTTTCTTTAAGATCAAGAACAAGAAGGATGCTTCCTCTCACTGTTTATACTCAACATGGTACTAGAAGTCTTAGCTAGAGTATAGTTAGTCAAGAAAAACAAATAAAAGGAATATAAATTGGAAAGAAAAAAAGTAAAATTATTTCTCTTTTACAGATGATACAATCTTATATGTGGGAAACCCCTAAATACTCCACACAAAAAAACCTGTTAGAACTAAGAAGTGATTTCAGGAAAGTTGCAGGATACAAAATCAGTGGTGTTTCTATTTACTAACAACACACTATCCAGAAAGGAAATTAAGAAAACAATCCTATTCACAATAGGAGTGAAAAAGGATAAAAATACCGAGGAATAAACTTAAACAAGAAGGTGAAAGACTTGTATATGAAAACTACAAAACATTGATGAAAGAAATTAAACAAAACACAAACAAATGGAATGACATCCGATGTTCATAGATTGGAAGATTAAATATTGTTAAAATGTCCATGTTACCCAAAGTGATCTACTAACTCAATGCAATCAATCTTCATCAAAACCCCAATGGCATTTTTACAGAAACAGAACACAACCATCTACATTTATATATTTCAAATATTTCCCATTAAAACACCTAGTATTTTTCTAGCATTGCACATAAACTTGGCTTAGTGAAAAATTATTTTATTTTTCAAACTACTGCTTCATTATTTTAGTTATATTCTGCAAATAGGGAAAGAGAATTTTTTAACCTGTTTAGTTGTGTGGTAAACTCACTACACTGAGACTAGAAGACCTGGATTTCAATTTCAACCACATTATTCATGAAATAATGAAATAATGAGAAATGAAATGAAATAATGAGAGTAATGGTAACAAGAATTGGGAAAATCTTTCATTTGGGTTATGTTTTTGAATGCATACTTTTTTGATATATACTAGTACTCAATTTTTATCATATTCTTTCTGGGACTCAGTTTTCTTATCTGGAAAATGGGAACAACTCCTACTCTGCTTACTTCACAGGGATACCGTAAGGGTAAAAGACAAAGAATATGTAAAACTGCATTTGGAGTCACAAAGCACTATGTAGAACGATTATTGCCACTCATGTGAAGAGTCAGTTTGGAAATAATAATATTAAGGATTAGGAGAGAAAAGAAGAATGAGACCAACTTAATAGGTCTGTTGTGAGAATCTGGAGGCAGAATCTGGAGGCAATATTTATATTATAAATATCTGATACCCATGCATACTTGCCGGGTCTCCCCCAAATGAACGACACTGGGTTAATAACCGTAGACCAGCAGATTAAAGGGATTCTGGCTAAGGAGGCATTTCCCGATCTCATCTCCTACCTGAGTTATCTGAGCTGGTCTCAGGAGATTCCAGGTTGTCTCTGGTATATCAGAGCTGTGAAAGTTCTTAGAGCACATGCTTTTACAGGAAGCTTTATTTTTCTCTTGGGGAAACATTGCTCTGGGAATCAAATGGCCACAACAATATTCTCTGAGACAGCCAAAGACCACTTCCTCCGTGTGCTAAAGTGATTATACAAAGAAACTGGTTTGGGACATCATGTTATGAGGTTGCCCTTATTACACTCCCTTTCTGTTTACCACCTCAAAACATTTTCCCGTGTGGGGCACACACTCCACACACACTGTTTGGTCAGAAAAATCTATAGACGCTTAAGTGCCTAAAAGCACTTATCTCGGTTCACAGTAGCTTAATCCTGTGCTGAAATAAAATGCTTTTCAATCAGAATCTCTTAGCACCTAATAATGAATACAGCTGAAACCTACCCAATCAGAGCAGAAAGCCACAGAACTGAGGACAAATCAAAGATTTTCAAAACATCTTGAAAGAGCTAAAAACGCATTTACCTGGGCAATTATGTCTGTAATTTCTGAATAACTATGGCATCTTCTTACACAAGATCGAGCCAAAAAGTCTTCCACCAGCCGTGTTCCAATGCCATATCCCCTGTGATGAAGGAAAGAGTATGGTCTGAAAATAATATTTGAGTAGTGAACTCTAGCAGTGTTTAAGAATGGAGTCCTCTGTTTAGCACTTTGCATGGATAACAAAGTAAAGCAAATTTGACAAGTCTAATGGCTATTTGGCAGTAGGCTCTTTATTTGTCTTACAGATACAGAAACAGAGAGCATTTATCCGGGAAAATATTAACTAGTTTCCTATAAGCAGAAAAGCCTGAGGAGGTAAGGCTGGCCCAAATTTGACAGTGTATATTAAAGCTAAGGGAGGTTGGTGTTCATAGCCTAATGTATCTTATTGGCAACTAACTTTGTCATCAGTAGCTGTTGATGGAAATAGAATGAGAATCTAGCTAGCTTGTCTACTATAGGTGTGGTACTTGGATGCTCATTCTTCTCTTAGCATAGTTATCATGGTAAAAGTACAGACATGGCCAGGATGGGCTCCAGAAGGAGAGGAAGAAGGGAAAAGAAAAATCAATTTTTGTTGTCAGTGTAGGTTTCTGCAGTTAAAACTCTGAAGTTTAGCGAAAAGAAAAAAAAGCGACATTCAGAAAATTCATTTTTCATTCTAGGGGAACTGAATCTATGGGACTTGGGAGAAAGTATTTGTATTATCCGTTAGCTTCACCCTACCACAAACGGACTGAGTAGTACCTGAAGTACAGTGTTGAAGGCATCTTACTGAGATGTCATAATACAGCCGAGTATGTGGCTGAGATGCTTGAGCAGACGCTTTCGACAAGACAGACCTAAGAACTTTCAATCTAGTTTAGCAAATATGACCTTAGTGGTGGAAATAAAAAGAAAAAATTTAACATAAGCTACATAAAATGATGTATATTCTGGAAATGCTGTATCACATGTTTAAGTATGACCTAAGGTAAAATAGGTTAAGCAGCTCTCACTATTACAGACATTTTATCTTAGGAAGTACTCCTGACTAATGAAGAGGAAATGAAAAAAAAAAGTTATATGAACCAAAATAAACAGAGGACAATGAAAAAGAACTTTCTAGTAGGAAAAGAATAAGCTTAGAAAGGGAGGAAACTAGGGTTCACAAAAAACCTTTCAAGCTTTCCTTTATGTTGTCTTTTTTCTGTTTTCCAACTAAAAACACAATCAACCCTTTTTAAAAGCCCTACAACGCTCAACTAGGCTAAATTTCCCTTTCAACCTTTCTAACTAAATCTTCTAATTAGTACAAGCTTTCTAGTCATTGCCCAGTTAGAGAGTCCTTTTCAGGATCCATAATTAAGAGGCTCAAAAAGTGTTGACAGATATTTTATTACTGAGCAATAATCTGATGATCATATAATTATTCTGAGAAAATTAAAGGTTGAATTTGTGCAGAGGGACTCTCCATTAATAAAGACAAGGAGAATGAACTATGTTTTAAAAGGAAAGGGTGGGCACTGTGAATTGTGCAAGACTGTTGAATCTCAGATCTGTACCTCTGAAACAAATAATACATTATATGTTTAAAAAAAAAAAAAAGAAGAAGATAGCAGGAGGGGAAGAATGAAGGGGGGAAATCGGAGGGGGAGATGAACCATGAGAGACTATGGACTCTGAGAAACAAACTGAGGGTTCTAGAGAGGAGGGTGGTGGGAGGATGGGTTAGCCTGGTGATGGGTATTAAAGAGGGCACGTTCTGCATGGAGCACTGGGTGTTATACGCGAATAATGAATCATTGAACAGTACATCAAAAACTAATGATGTAATGTATGGTGATGAACATAATATAATAAGAAAAAAGGAAAGGGTGGGTTTCTCCCTTTAATATATTTTTAAGTAAAGCATAGCAATGGTAAAAGCATTCAAACAATAAAAACACTGCATAGAAAAAAGTAAATCTCTCTTCTATGGGTAATCCCTTGTCTCCAAGTTCTCTCAGGCAACTGCCATTAGCAATTTTTGGCATATCCCTCCAAAGATGGTCTATACTTACATAAGCATATGTTTATATTAGAAGGAGTTATCTTAGAACAAAAGACTGCTGAAAAGAATCAAATTTGATGATCCATAACATTGTTAAAAAAACAATGTTTTACCATACTTTTGCTTACAAGTGACTAGCAAAGAAATGATTTTGAACTAAAAAGAATATGTCCCATGCTTGATTTTCATAGAAAAAAGTTTCCTTCCTCTTACTTTATGCTTTACACAACCCAAATGGCCATTGTCAGAAATGATGGTCAGCTTTAAAACGTGATTCACTGAAATCATAGAAGAGCCCGTGAAGTAGGGCAAAGTCATTAGAAGTGGGCAAAATTCAGAGGATATTAACAATATACATTCCATGAGAATAAAAGACTTCTACTTACATTTTATCTAAATATTTGTTCACATCTTCATCTTTTTCATAATCTTTACACAGTTGGGCAACCAGAGCTCCATAGGTGAGGACAAAGAGATCTTTGTTCTAGAGAAAAAAGGGTTGGTTTTACTTTATAGGCAAAGCTATGGACATTGTGCTACTCTATTTTTTTTTTAACAAAATGTTCCAATTGCAAGCAGCCTTTGAGATCATCTGCTCATTTTTTCCCACCCTCCTACTAATTATTGCAACAATTTTGACTTCTGAGAACAAGCTGTACCTATATTTGGATCCATCGCTGATAAGAAAAGAGCTGTGAAATGGAATAAATTTCTTTTTTTTTTTTTAATTTTTTATTTATTTGCGAGAGAGAGAATGAGAGACAGAGCATGAGAGGGAGGAGGGTCAGAGGGAGAAGCAGACTCCCTGCCGAGCAGGGAGTCCGATGCGGGACTCGATCCCGGGACTCCAGGATCATGACCTGAGCCGAAGGCAGTCGCTTAACCAACTGAGCCACCCAGGCGCCTCTGAAATGGAATAAATTTCTTAACAGGAGAAATCTTTCTATGCATTTGCTAATAGTATATAGCTTGCAAGGTATTATCATGGGGCAAGGTTTTTAAAAAAATAATTGCTAATATAAATTTCCGTTGTTCTAGAATAGCCTTTGGTATCGGCCGACCATGTTTTCAGCTGGAAGGAATAATTGGTTGAGACTTCTCATGAGTTTGCACAATCCCTAATGGGTTCCAGATCTGCCAAGGAGACCATCAGGATGAACCCAACTGTAGCAGCAAATTTGTGAGATGTTGTTTTATTTATACTTAGTGAAAAAAGGAGAATTTGTACTTTCCTTATAGATCTCCAAAATATGGCCTATTTTCAGAGTGAACTGAATATGAAAACTACAACTAAGAATAGTTTAGGTTTGGTTTAGCATAGAGAGGTTGAAAGTATGGGAAACAGAACACACAAATCTCAATCAATCCATCTGACAAAGTCTCTCTGTTTTGCTTCTGCTATTGAATACTATGTAAGAAAGGGATGGAGATACTAGGGATAATTTATTCCAGTGCTCTTAGTCCTACAGAGGAGGGAATAAGACCTAGGAGGAGTGAGTGACTTGGCCAATGAGCCATCAATTGGCAGAGCCAGGGTGGAGCCTGAGACTGCAAGCTCCACTCTGACATAGCAATTACCTTTGAGGTGCACAAAAGAAGGCCTATTTGGAGTAGAGGTGGGTGGAACAGGGAGGCACGAAGGGGAACCACTGTGGAAAATAATCTTACTTCTTGCATAATCTTGTATTTACATGAAAAGCTAAATGTGGATTCCAGGTTAGAAGAGGTGTTTTTACCTCTAGACCCAGGTATCTTGGGTAGCCTAACATGGAGGGTAACATATGACCTGATAAGATGTATTCTTTTTTTTTTTTAAGGCACAGGCAGAAATGGTTAAACAAATCAATAAAATTATTCAACAAAGTAACTTCTGTAAGTGTTATATAATTTTGATCAAAATACTTCCTAAATTTACCCACTACCACCAGAGTCCACCTCCCTATACATGGGTTTATACTATGACAAATATGTTTCTTTAAGCAGATACAATATTTGTTATAACTAAATAAGTTTCAAATGGATAGAATCTAAATAATTATAGTTACAAAATTATGTCCATATGTGGACATCATTTATGTTAGAAATATAAATCAAAATGTCATAAGTGGGTGTAGAATATACATTAGATACACTAATTGACATTACGTTAAGGACTAATCTCTATGAGTCAGGTATAGAAAATAATAAGTATGTTAATATTTCTACTAGAAAACAAATATAAAGCAAGTGATTTTAACAAAAATATTGTTAAATCACTAAAGGGTCACAATATATTCAATTTTAATTCTGTTCTTATTTAACTCAAAAAACCTAATCATACACTATAAGAAATGTCTGTAAATTATACATGAAATATCTTCTCAACATATACGGAGCCACCACAGAAGATAAATTACTGCTATGTGGTAAGAGCACAGCATAAAAATAAGCAACGGTTGAAGGAGAGAGACAGAAAGAATAATGTAGTTATTGCCACTAGCAACAAAAGCAGAATTTGAAAAAGAGATAAAAGGAAATGAAATTATACCCTACTTACATGCCAGAGCATCAGCATTATGCCCATTTATAATACGACCAAACTGAAATCATGGCATTTTCTTCTTCCTCTTTCTCTCTTATTCTGATGGGTGAATACTATCTACAGTTTACTTGCAGCTAAGTTTCAAGTTCAATACCCACAAGGGCCAGTTTTTCCATTCTGTGTCCTCGTAAAAGGCTGTACCTTGAGCTACATGTCCAGTAGGTCTCAAATCCATACACCCGGTCACAGAAAATGTCAACATAAAATTTATCTTCACAGTTTATAAAACAATAAAAACAGTCATTTTCACATATGAAAAACAGAACACCATTAGTTATTTGAGACTTTGGATACATTAGGATAAAAGTGTGTTTTAACTGACACGTAAATGAAGTGATTTAGGTGCACTCTGCAGTATCTTTTAGTATTTCAGAACCCCACATAAAATAAATCAAGATCCCAGAATGCCAGAGGGGCCATCTGGAGGCATTCCCAACTGGGGTGTGACAGTTAATCATACAATTCCAAGTTCCCATAACTGAAATTACTTAATTTTCTTCAGTGCTCATCAGTTTCCTGAAATAATTAAAAGAACTTTAAACATAACGATAAATTTTCACATCTGTAACTTCTGAGAGGATTAAAGAAGAAGTTTATCCAAAGCTAATATACAAGTAATTAAGTTTTGAAAAATAACTCTGAGCTTGGAATATATAGAAAGGATAATAGCACATACCAAATTATAATAATAGATACTTACATTTAAGACAAAGAAATACATTTCTAAAGGCAATCTTTTAATGCTGAGTTTTTTGCTGATCTGTTCCCATTAATTTAACACATAATCACTATTTTTTATATATTTTATATACATTTCATTTCCTAGTTCACGAAGTATGAAATACAAAGAATTGCTTTATCTTTCCGTATTTTCTGTCAGGCACAAGAGATAAATTTGACACGTTATAGATCTAATTAGTCACAAAAGAAAACCCTAAAATCTGTATAAAGACTCAATTATTCTGTTACAGTGTGTTAGAGAGCATTGTACTATTCCCAGAGGTGTGATTTATGATCCACTCCACTAAACACTTCCTTGCTCCACTGAAAAAAAGTCTATGGGTAGTGTCACCTTTTGAAATAAATCAGAAATCACTCAAGAAAACATTTCCTTTGAAGTAGAAGAAAGGCCTCTTTGAGAATATGTTTAGAAAAAGATCTTACGATTTTATGGTATTCTGGTCTTCTGTGTGCAGGGCGAGACATGGTGCTTGAGAGATGAAGAATGCGATCTTCGATTTCTTTTCGTCAGCTTTTACTTTAGAGGTGTATCCATCCCTGTCGTCCTGTTTTTGCACGTTCCTTCTTCCTTGGAGACAAGAGTGCCACTTCTGCACTCTCCTGATGTTCTTTGCTGAGCTGAAGAGGAAAACAATCATGAGCAGGACGGGCTTATGAGCACGTACCTTGCCACCGATCAAATACTGCTTCACTTGTGAGTACAAGTTGTAACCTAGAGGCATGAAAGCTGATAGTGGGAAGTCTGATCAGAGGCACCAGCTACTGAAAATTCTTTAGCCCAAGGGAGTATAAGAGTGGTGTTTTGCTCTCATGCCAAGGCATTGTTCTAAAAATCACAAACAGAAACCTTCACAATCCAAGATAGATCTAAATGTTAGCATTATTTAGTCTTTGTATTGATTGTTGTGTGAATTTGAGACAGGATCAGCAATCTGTAGGTACTACATCTTGGGTTCAAACCTAATGAACAACTCTAATGGGTATCACAGACCCCCATCTTGCATGATTACAGAATTCAAATATATCTGATACTTTTGTTTTCATAAGCAGCAGTTTTAAGGAATGATGGATTTGGGGTGTTGGTATTTTTTCCTTAAAACTGTTGCTCAAAATGGGTGTTCTACAGTTTAGTAATGTATAATGATTCTGGCAGAGAAAGCAAGCCCTTAGCTTTCTTTTGATAGTCCCTGAGATGTTAGCTATTGAAACCTCTATTTATGTAGGAGTATAGACATTTAAAGTTAACACGAGAAACTCCCCCATCTTGACAACTCCATGCAGGGCATGGAGGACCAAAACACTTCCAGAAATAGAAGCCTAAGACTCAATTTAAGAAAGTCACTTCCTACTTCTTACCATCTGAGTCAATTAGCCCTGTGTGTTCTAGAAAATTCTTGCTATAAAGTGACAGACTAGGAGAATTTGGAAGTCTCAGGCTGAGCTGCAGTTCTACCATTTACTGGCTGTGTGACTTTGGACAAGCCATTTTATTGTTCTATGGCTCAGTTTCCACATTTGCAAACTGGCAATAATAAAACCCACTTCACAGAATAATTGTGAGTATCAAAGAGGTAATGTGTGCTATAAAACACGTTATAATGCATTATAGAAACACTAGTTACTGTAGATTTTTCTCGTCGGTGAGTATATCGAATGGGGTTCTACAATATTTAGGGTATTCCTATTAGTGCCTGTGTTCCATGACTCTATTCCCAGGAAAAGTCAGTTTGGCTGGGGGGTGGTGTGTGTGGGGGGGTGCTTTTCACTGGTAGAGTAACAACACCTTAAATTTATAAGTTTACAATTTACAGCACGGTTTTCACTTTATCTCATTTTAATTTGACTACCATCTGTGAAATAGTACTGTAATCATTACCATTTTCTAGGATGAGAATCTAAAAGTCACGTTGAGAAATTTGCTCAAAGTTGCTGGGTAGTCGGCAACAAAGAGGGATTTTGGCTCAAGTTGCTGACCCCAAATCAAACATTTTTTTCTATTGTACACAATCCATGTTAGAGCAAAATATTTCACAGGTAGACTCCCAATAGCTACTAAGGTATGGTAGAGAGCCCATTGCTGAGCGTAGTGTGGGGGCGATGCTGGGTTCTGAGAAAAACAGAGAAAAGGCCTGTGTGCTTGGTGGGTGGGGAGTGGTGATACTGAAATCAATTTCACTAAACCATAATGGCTGTGCTATGGAGACATCAGGGCCACCATGAGGATTCAGACATCTCAGGTACCTAGGAGCCAGATCCTCTGCTGGGCTGACAGCCTCCCCCTCTCTCCTGCCCCTTCGTCCAGGAGCACGGCGTTTAAGGAAGGAGTCCCTGTCTGGCATTCCCTCTCGAGAGCACAGCCAGCACAAACACAGCTGCGGCCAGGGCGCTGGACGCTGGTTTGCTGATGTTCAGACTGTGAAACCCACCAGCCTTCAGCAGCTCTTGGGATCCCAGGAAGCCTGCTGTGCCCCAGGCCCTGTCTTTTCTCCACTTTCTTCACCTAAAGAGAAGAAAGTGCAGAGGGAGGGTATGTTTCAAACAGGGAGCTGATAGAGAATATCTGTTCTGGCAGCAAACTAGAAAGAGGAATCATTGCAAAATAATGCAGAGGAAAAGTTTTTGCTCTTTTATTAAGAGTTCTTTTGGAAGCCTAGGCCAGAATTCGGAGCCGGCGTTGGGAGAATGATGCGATCCTCAGTGTCATCATAGTGGACTGCAAAGCAACCAGTGCAAGGAGATGATGAACTGGGTCACTCCCTGAGAGTGGTCCCCTGGGAGGTACCTGGGCAGCTGGGTAGAGACCGGGGAGGTGCTAACAGAGGGCAGCACCGATCCGTCAGCGTGTTATCATCATCTGAGATCCCCCACAAACTATCAGGCATGGCCGTCACATCTGCACTGGGAGCTTGTTATCTTTTTGCAACTTCTTTTTCTATTTAAGGCTGCTTTTCGTGTTTATTTTAACCAAACTTCTTTATGTAAAATGAGTGATGATATGCTCAGCAGCCCCCCTCCCCCCAGGACTGCTCTAGCTGTCAGATCTGATCTCCCTGTCGGTGTGTCAGCACGTCCTCAGTGAATGAGCTGCCGGGTCTCCACTGACGGATAGACATTTTATATGTTGGATAGACAGCTGACAGCAAGCTCTCTTTAGCATAAAGACCATTTGGTTACAAAGGCCCAAAGGAAATTGATCAGTCATAGATGTAATCCTTCACAATCACGGACAAGTTACACACAGGTACCCCTGAGGAAGTCATTAGTTCTTTTGACTGTGAACAACAATAAAAACTTAAGAATTTGTTATCAACAAACTCCTTTACGGCAAGACATTGATGCCTCAACAGTGATTTCTCATCAATGAATGCTCCATCCTTTCCTGCATTCTTCCCTGAAAGAGTGGTCTACATTTTCCTTCTCTGCTTCCTCACTTCCCATATGTTCCACGAAATGAACTTTTAAAATTGGAAATTACAAACATAAGGAAGATGTGGTTCTTACTACCAAGCTCTACTGAACGAGCTGCTAGATATACTTCAGGCTCTGTTGTAAGCAATGACGCAGTACCGATAAGAGTTGAAATAGCCAGCACCCTCCTGAATTCTACTCTGTCCTCCTCAGGGGTCACCGCTACACAGAACTTGGTATTTATCATTCCTATTCATGTTTTTAAATTCTACATATGTTGGTAACCACAAAGAATATGTAATATCATTTTGTTTCAAAACTACCTAATTTGTCATACTGTGCATATCCTACAGCTTGCATTTTTCCTTCCCAGTTATTGGTTAAGATTTATCTGTATCTACAGCTGTCGCTCTAGCTAGTTTATTTTCACAGCCTCTATAGCTGAGGTCAGCAGACTTCTTCTGTAAAGAGCCAGAGAGTAGATATTTTAAATTTTATGGACATATGAACTCTGTCACAACCCCTCAACTCTGCTATTGTGGTGGGAAAGCAGCCATAGACAATTCAGGAAGAAGTGTGCCTATGTGCCAATAAAATTTTATCTGTAAACATGGAGATTTGAGTTTCATGTAATTTCACATGTTATAAAATACTGAACAATTTTTTTTTTCCCAACTGTGTTAAGATGTAAAAACCATTCTTAGCTCACAAGCCATAGAAAACAGGCAGTGGGCCAGTTTAGTCTATGAGCCCTATATGGTTCACCCCTAGTCTATAGCATTCTATTTCTGTGGTTTATTCATCTGTTTCTTTGTTATTGGACGTTACTAATGAAATGGAATGGAAATACTGTGATGGAATACTACATACACCTTAGATAAAGCTTGCTTGTTGTTCACATCCTTTAGATCCTAATGTTAACTTAATCATTTCTGATAAAGATATGGTTAAAATCTCTGATTATGAGAAGTGTCCTTATACCTTGATCAGCTTTTGCTTTATGTATTTTAAAGTTATGCAGTCACAGACATACAAGTTGACAATTGTTTTATCTTCATAATGGATTTTTCCTTTTATTATAATGGAGTGTTCCAAATTAGCCTTTTGACACTTTTTGCCTTTAGTTCAGTTTTGCCTTATTTTAATATTATTATTCCCAGTTAAATATATTCTAATACCTTTATTTTTCAAGCTTTGTGTGTGGTCTAGTTTTAGGTGTGTCCCTTGTAAGCAGTATGACTCTGTTTTTTAATCACTCTGGAGGTAAGTTTACTCCCACTTTGGTATGGTGGTGAAATGTGTGTACCAGACCACCGGCTCCTAACCCTGATTCTTCCATCATCTCTGCATGACCCTGTGCAATTTCCTCAATCTCTTCACGCCTCAGTTTTCTCATCTGTAAACAAGTTGAGGATAATATTAGTACCTCATCATAGTTCTTAGAACAGTGCCTGGCATGTCGTAAGCACACGGTAATTGTTAGGTATTTAAAATTGTGTGTGTGTGATTATTGGTGTGTTTGGTCTCATTTTTACCATTATTTTGTGTTTTCTTCTTACCATCATTTTCCCTTTGCTTACAATCTCTTTTCCAGTTAATATTCCCTTTTTCTTTCCTGCTTTTGAATCATCTATACACCAAATTTTAATTATTTAATAATCATACTTAAAATTTTACTGCTTTAATGAAATATGAATTGATTTACAATTTGATGAGTTTGGGCTTATGTATACACCCCTGAAGCCATCAAATTAATCAATATAATTAACATTTCCATTACCCCTGTTTTAACTGTGTTATCTTAGATTCTTTGTCTAGTTGGCATCCATTAATTACAGGACCACAATAACAGCCAAAGCAGTTTGTATCTCCCATGCGATCCAGAGCCCATACCTGGAACCACCTTCTTATCTGCTCTCATACATCAAACCAATGTTTCCCCTGCCCTAGATCAACCCAGGACCAGGTACTAGACCAGCAGTGACAACGCTTATGTCCCAAAGCCCACCAGAATTATTTAAACTAGCCAATCGTACGCTGTTTCCCCTGCCTTACCTTGCCTTTACCAAGAAAATCCCAATAAAAGCTCTGGCATAGGGTCTCCTGTCTTCCTTTCTGCCTCCTGACCAAACCTGGTGCTTCCCCGTGTGGTCTGGCATGCCCTCTTCTCTTGGTAAATGAAAGTAAGAAATCTCCTCTCAATGGCTTATATTAAAATCCTATCGGTACAAAATGATACAACCCTTGAAAGTCTTCTCATGCCCCTTGGTAATCACTCTCTTCTTATTTCTCCTCCTCCACTCCTTAGGCAAGCACTGGTTTAT